ACTCCTCTGATGCCAAGGCTCCTCTGGACCACATGCTGCTGGCTCTCTGCACACAGTCTTCTGCCCACCAGCCTGGACTCGAGGGAATGGGCCCAATTTACAAGGCCCCAGGCATGTTATAAGAATCAGTCCTGGAAATAACAGTTGCAACATCAAAGAGGGCTTTTCAGAACGTTGACATATGCTATTTAGGTGTTTTAATTAAGACTTCCCTTCTTTTGAGTAAAGAGACTTTTCTGTCCTTTGGGGCTTTTACTGAAAAAGGATGTATGTTTTGTAATAGTCATTGCCAAGTGGTGGTGTTTTAGGTGCTATTTAGATGCTGCTTGAATTCTGTGTCTTTCAAGAATGTTGGCCCAGACTGAAGTCAGGGACGGTTGTATTGTGGAGTTTCCCGGAAGAAATTCGGGTTCTTCTGCTCATCAGTGGCTGGCTTTGTCTCACCTGTCAGATCTCAACCTCATTATTACCTCCTCAGAGAGGATTTTCTGCCCATCCTGAGGAACATCCCTCCTCCACCTTTGTTAGCATCTTATCTGTTTCCTCCTTGGCGCTTATCACAGTTCATAATTATTTTGTTTGTTTCCTTGTGTTAGGGTGTCTTCCCTACCAGAATGGAAGCCCCAAAAGATGGGACTCACACGTTTTGTAGAATTGCATTCCTAAAACCTGACATAGTGCCCAGCCCAAGCTAGGTGCTCAACAGATATTGTTGAATAAAATTTTTCTCTTTTCCAAATGAAAGAAGATAAAAAAAACCTGTAGGTCATACTCATTGCTGCCATCAAGTAACCAATGAGAAGAGAAACTATTGATCCTGTTCTATTTACGTATCTATCATTTATACATTCTGCTTACTGTTCAATCCATGGATCGACTACAGGGCCTTCTAGGGTCAACGGAGGATTGGGGAGTGGGAATCCTGTTTTTGGCAGCCCCTCGAACCTCACTGTTTTCTTCATCTGCACATCATGAAAGCAATCCTTCAAGACACCAGCGGGGTGCCCACTGCCCTTGTTCCCCTGTTTTTCTCTCTGCTGGGAAAATTTGCTACTAGGAAGAAATCTGAAATTCATTCCTACCATGATTCTTCATAAAAGTGTTATTAGCACTTAAGCACTAAGATACTTTAACCACAGTAATGAAACACTGGTAGTAGAAATTCTGACCTTATCTGGCACTGGAGGGAGGGAATTTGGAAAGGAGTCTGCAGGGGCCTACAATCCATAGTGTGTTCACTGTACTACCTTCCTCAGTGATGAACCTTTAAAGGGGAGAGGAAGAGAAAATGAGAGCAGATACATGAGGTTGAAATCTTACTTGCTGTAAAATAAGTCCCTTGGCTTTTGCAGTCTGGGTGTAATATAAACTGTTAAATGTTAATAGCTATGTTTATAAAACCGTGAGAGGCACTGCTTCTTTTCTAGGAGAAAAAATGGATCTCAGAAGCTTTTTCCAGTTGGACTCCGCAGGCCCCTGTGGGCTGAGCACCTTGCTCTTGGACAGATGCCCCCTGAGTCGCAACTCTGCCGTCATAAGATGTGTTCTATGATCTTGCAAGCCTCTTCAAATGAGCTTTCCTACCCTGATGAACAGCATTGACCAGGAATTAAGAGAATTCTTCTGTTTGTGTTTCTCAGCCTTTGTTTCTTCCTCTAGGAAATAGGACCTCTGGGGGGAGCGGGGGGAGGGGGTTGGTCAAGTGCTAGGTGGTCCCTTGACCCTTTGTTTGGAGCAAGAACCATTTCTCTTCATCCAAAACGATGTGATCCCAATCAGGGAGGCCAGTGAGAAGCCTCCACTGTCACAGAAATTTCCTGGGCCTCAGTATCTCTATAGGAACACCAAGACCCATTTCAGAGTCATCCTTGAGGCCTTCACTTGTCTAAAACCTCAGCCTCTTGAGGCCCAGGCCAAGTGTCCTGTTCCATGTCGTTTCATCCTGTGTTTCACTTCCCGGAGCCTGTGGTTCTTAGAATTGATAATAAATGAATTCACATTTAATTCTATTCCAATTGTTTCCTCTGTGTTAATTTGAGTTAATTTGACCTCAGTTAATTGGACCACCTCAGTTAACTGGTAGATTGTGAGCTCCGGGGGGAAAGTTCTGGAATCATCTCTTGACATCCCAGGTTTTCAGATGCTATGAATTCAACACAATAATGAAAATAATAAAGACAATCATGACAACAATATCAATGATTATAATTTAGTGACAGATATTATTTCCCAGGCATTCTGTTGAACTCTTTACGGTCTCTCATTTAACAACCCAATAAGGTAGATACTACAAAGCTCAATTTACAGACGAGGAAACCAAGGTTCAAAGATTAAGTAGCTTGCTGGAGCCCAGCTGTCAATCAGAAGCTGGGATTTTCACCCTTGCAGGCTGGACTCCAAAGCTGTTTGCATTCATTACTGGCTGATGGGTGGGGTCCGAGTGCTTCCCTCCCCCACCAAGTCCGCCATCCTTCTTTGTGGTCGCAGCATGAAAGAGACACCAAAGCGACATGCAGGGCGAAATTTTATT